TGGCAACCGGTTCAGGGTGTCCCCCGCCTACTGCCCGAAGACAGCTGGGATACGCTCCAGCATGCCCCGCAACCCTTGTGAGGAAGAAACTTAACTCTCCAGCTGTTAAAACTTTTTGCACAACTTGCTGTTCTCTAACTAGGAGCTGAATGGCAAAATTCACAACAGTTGTTTGCTCCACGAATGGACCAATACATTTCCCACTACATTCAGGCCTTTATGTGACTGTATCTTTGCTGCAACCCGCTAATGACACTCTGACACTAAGCTCAGTGCCTACTTGGCTCTGAGAACATCCTGGTTGACATGGCAGGGATCTATTGATCAATTGTTCCGTGCCGTCTTGGTCTCAAAGATTGTGGGTTAGAGCTTCAAAGTGTACTTAAGCAAGATACTGAACCCTGAGATAGATACTGATCCTGCACCATCATTAGGTAAATAAGGAAACTTTTAAAGTGCTTTGAGTACCTAAGGTAGGAAAGTGCTCTACAAGTGAACGCCCATATACCATAAAAGTGAAAGGTCCTAATAGCAACATGAAGAGGACGGTTAAAATACTAATTCTCATTGAACCAGGAAATTTATTGGTCCATTCATGTATCAAATGCCTTTTGTCAATGTCATCATTCAGCTCCTCATCAGCAAAAAGCTAGTTGTGCAAAAAAAAAAAAAAAAAGTTGAACAGTTGGCTATAGCATTTTTGTCTTTGTTTAGAAAAGGTCGAATTGAGTTCACCTGTGCATTTGAAGTTCCTCCAGAAATGTCATCCATCCATTTTCTGATCCGCTTATCCTCACAAGAGTCGTGGGGCATGTTGGAGCCTATCCCAACCATCTTCAAGCAGTATGCTGCATACACCTTGAGCTGGTTGCCAGCCAATCGCAGAACACATAGACGAACAACCATCCGCGTGCATACTCATACCTAGGGACAATTTGGAGTATTCAACCAGCCTGCCATGCATGTTTTTGGAATGTGGGAGGAAACCGGAGGATCGGAGAAAACCCACGCGGGCACGGGGAGAACATGCAAACTCCACAAGGAAGGCCGGAGCTGGAATGGAGCCCTGCACCTCTGCACTGTGAAGTCAACGCGCTAACCAGTCAACCACTTGGCCGCCACTCCAGAAATTTCTAACTAAAGCTAATTATCCCGAACATTTTGTGACTATTGTATGTAGTAAGAACCTGTTTCAACCATGTTTGTGATGTACTATAGCGTGTGACAACATAGACAAATGCTATCTGATTATTAGAATGTTTTCTTTTGTACACAACAGCTGAGAGGAGCATCTAAAATTCATAGTGAATTCAGATTGGAGAAGGATGATTTTCATACATTTTTACAGATCCAGCAATGTATTGAGCAAAATAGGAAGTAGATCACACAAGACCAATGGGATAACATTCTTGATGGAAGCCCCTGCTTTGGGCCCTATCTCCCCAAAATATCTGATGTCAGAAATCAGAGAACGTCTACTTTTATGAGGTTGAAATCTGGGGATTGGGACCATTTTAAATTTAAACAATGACTATTACTGATTCATCATTTGTCAAAACGGCTCTCACTGACGAGCAGCGCGCTACGTACCCGCTCAAGTACATTTGATGAAGAAGACTGCCCGCTTATCTATTTCAACCACGGGTATATGTGCAATTACAAATATTCTTATGCATTGTTTTATGTTTTTGTCATGTTATTGTTTCAGTGGTGTATCAAGGTACTTCATGCAGGTTTAGTATCAAAGTCAACATTTTTGGTATCGTGACAACACTGTCATTTGCAAATGTAGGGATGAATATAGTGAAATGTAAATTTATGGGAACCATGAAAATGTTTAATAAAAAGTGAATTGAAAATAAAATGAAAAACAATCAACGCAAAAATCTGTTCAATATTCACATACAATTCACTTGCTGAGGTCTGCATTATCTGTGTACTTGTTTGGTGTGCACCGGGTTCAGATGTTACCTCGACCAAACTTGATCAACCAAAGCACTAAGTCGAGCAATTGCACCCAACTTTGAACCAAACCAAAAGTGGAAGGTATGTTCAAAAAGTGGCAACTTTCTGACCTCAACTGAAAAGCATACATCTGAGGAAAGAGAGCACTAGTATGGGTATATTATTTTGACATGGTCGACAAATTATTTGAAGTGTTCTTGCAGCTCTGTATTAATTGGGGTATTTAACAACACCGTTGTCTATATGAAAAAAAAAAAAAGAAAGTACTGTTTTATGTGTATGCGTGCCGGTTTTGCAATGTCTGAGGTTCAGCCTCTAAGATGTAATGTAAACACCAAAACGCATCTTTTATGGTAAGCAATTTAATCTTGTGCAAAATGAGAACAGTTTACCAAAACACTGTCTGGCATGATGGGAGTTGGACAAAAATACTGTCACAAGGTTTCAGTTTCTCCTGGGAAAATTAATCTACTCCAGTGCACGGTCAACAGAAAAACAACAATAATGCACTTGATGAAGGTATTTTCTTGGCACCCAACTAAGCCATCTTCCCAACAATCCTGTGTTGTGAATTCAACCAGGTAAATTGTTCCATCCTCCCAGCAAATGCACTAACTACTCTCAAGTGGCTAATCCCATTGTGTAGCTGGGATGAGTAAAGGAGAGAAAAAAAACAACCAAGAGGCGGGAGGCATTTAAGGCATATAATCAATGCTTGAGGGGTGCTGTGCATTCAGTCAAACATGGCAAACGATGTCTTAACCTTCAGCAAGCGGGTGTCATGCGTGCATGGCATCAGATAGACAGATGGGGGGATCTAATAAGTAGAATTGATTATGCAATTTATCAATTAGTGTTCATCATTAACAATGTGGCCTCATTTAAGCTTCTTTCTCACCACCAACAACCAAAAGCAAGCAGAAGCTGCAGAGCCAATGAAACAGACAATCCGGTTACATGGTCAGTGGCACATTTTGGAGGGAAGTCACTGCATGTGTGTGTGCGCAAGTGGCTTTTTCACACGTCCTCACCGTGACACTGCACGTCGACATCGAGAACTCTGGTTCACCCCACTCCAGCTGTTGGGAAGAGGGCAATCGCAGGGCAGGGAGATCGCTCTTGCCTATTATGACGGGATGAACATCATGCACACAACTATGTAATCACACAGCCCCACGCACAAAGGCTCCACGTCAAAGCCCATCCCACCTAATGGCCAAAGCTTCATACTGCTAACGGGTGCTCAGGGAGGCAATGAGGTTTGGAGTCTATTTTTCCATGACCCCTGGTTGACTTCGATCCCCGTTCAACCCCCCTTCATGACCTGGCAATGGCACCCTATTAGGATGGGGGGGTGGGAGTGGGGTGATGGGGACAGACAGACGGGTACGGGATCTCGTTGAATGGTGCACTCTGACACAAACATAAGAGAATTGAGTTCGCAAATCTCACAAATGGGGTCAGAGCTGGTTCTTAGCAATTTGTTTTGATTTTTTTCTCCCTGCCCTGACTTCACTTAGCGGCTCTCTCCCCTCTTCTCCTTGAGAAACCATAAGCGAAGGCGATCATGCGAGGCAATGATGCGCCACTGGAAGGCTATGAAAACTGGAGGGCGATCATGCAGTGGCCTGTGGCTGTTGCACACACTGCTCTAAAGCATAGTCAGCTAATGCTGCCTAACATAATAGGTGCAAACAAATCTAACGTCATATACATCACAGATAGCCACATATTCAAGCATCAATAACAGGGCAACTTTAAAACAAGACCAAAAGGAAGAAGAGAGAAACTTAAAAAGCCAGACATCATCATAGAATCCCCAATTCCTGCCAACATGTGTAATGATGATCACAGATATTACCATCTACACCTCAATATCTGAATAAACAATGGGATTTTTTTAAGCCATGAAGAGGTTGATTTAGTAGGTTGTTGTTTTTTTTTTAATGGTACTAAGTGGGACACAATTGTACTCAGTAGCTGAGTCAGAGAAGAAAGTTGATCTCTGGTCATCTTCATTGGTGCACCATTCACAGATAAGCAGGTTACTGTCATACAGATCCCATGTGAGGGCATCCTACTTTCCTGGCTAATCTTTTCTTGCACCTGCATGGAGCCTTCAAGGAAGCTGGGCACTTGCAAAAGCATGTACGCACCCACAAAGATCAAGACGGGGCCGGTCAAAACAGTGGCATGGAGCAGACCAAGTCATCCAAGATCTGCTGTCTGAATTTGTTCACAGGTGACAGGCCACAAACTTAGTTGGAAAAAAAAAAGAAGTGTGTAAACTCTGCCAAAGTTTGTTTAAGTGCATATTTATCAGAATGCTCTCATAGTTTTTATTTCTTAGTCCGGACATTTGTGTGTACATGTCCTCTGGCCCTTGGAAGCAGAGGTTAGTAACCGGCTGCTCCCTCTGTCTCTCTGATCAGGTTACAAATGTGGGTGTGTTCCCGCTCTCCTCTGTCGCCTGCTTGTCTGCCTCTCCCGCGCTCTACAGCTCATTCTGCCTCTCTTGCTTTCTTCTCACTCCATGTCTCTACCCCTCTCTCTCTTTCAGAGCTTTGTGGTTTGCATCATCCGGACTCAAATGGCACCACTATGCAATCCTCTGTTTTCGTTTGCTCAACGGTGTTCCTCCAGTTCTCTTTGCTCCTTCCATGTCCAGAGGGACAACAGAGCTGCAGACGGTCCACAGTGGCTGGGAGCCATGTGACTTCCTCCCCCTGTTGACCTCTGCTCACAACTGACCCACCAGACGTCTAACAAAGTAGCAGCATGCCTCAATCCTGTGCATGGACCATAACCAACAAAATGACAAACCGCATGCTTATTTGGCTGGCATTGATATTGTTTCAATGAACTGCAGCAGCAATTGCCAGGTAACAAAGTGCAGTGCCAAACATAAGTAGAAATGCAGATTTCTTGTGTTTAACCCTGCACCCAGTGCTGAGGAGGTAATATGTACAATGAATGTCACAGTGTTTTTGTTTCTAAAAGTGTGCTTCAGGTGTACACAACAGTTGCATTCTTACCTTGTCCTTCTCATGAGGCAGCAGGCGGACAGGAGGCAGTGATTCCAGGGATACCATCCCAGTGCCGTCATGGTGGGAGCTGCTGCGGCTGATGAACTGAAAAAGTGGACCCTGCTTTGCCACACGTCCATGGGCCACCGCCCTTTTGAGGGCCACCCGTAGCTGCTGGTGGAAGATGCCAGGCCCCATGGAGCCGCTGCCTGACAAATAGGCTGCCACATCGGCCTGACACTTAAGAAAGCGCTCAATGTTTTTCAAGCAGGAGCCACCTGGTTCGTGGAGGCCCTCCAGTGCCCGCTTGATCAACTTGTTCCAGTCAAGTCCAGGTCTCTTCCCCAAATGGCTTTGGAAGCTAGCGCTACTGCTGCTGCCGCTGCCACCACTGCTGCCACCTCCGCCTCCAGAGTTGCTGCTCCCTTTGGACTTGGGAAGAGCCAAGCGCCCGGGGTTGTCAGGATCCTTGTAAGAGTTGAGACCTTTGTTGGTAACCTTAAGGATGGTCCCATCTTTGACGCTGAGTTCTAACTGTTCCAGAATAGTCTTGCGGTCCAGGCCATGTGACATAGAGACAGCATTGCAAATACGCTCCTCAGATGGTCGCTGCTTCTGTTTCTTGACCTTCTTGATGGCCTCTAGGAGCCACTGGGTGTATGTGGGGTTGGCCAATTTCACCATAACTGCAGTCTCTCAGGGCGCGGTGGCCCTGGGGCCTTCCCACAATCACCAAACAAAAGAAAATTATGAACTACAGACCACGGACAGACACCTGGCCTGCGCCGAAGCGCCGCCACCCCCCTTTGCTTCTTTTTGTACTATTTTCTCCTCCGCTTACTATCCCTTGTCTCGGGGCCGCACAGAGACTCCTTCTGAAGCCGAGTATGAACAACACGGTAGTAAGCAGCTAACCATAGCACAACCCCCAAAACCAAGTTCTCCACCCAGTAAAATCAGGCCCACCCACTTCAGTCACAGGGCAGACGCTGGTATTGATGTAGGAACAGTTTTCTTCAACATAAACTGTCAAGCTAGAAAAATAATAATATAATAAGGATGTGTAGACAACAAACAAGTAACTTTACACGTCGCCGGTGAAGTAAGCACATTCTCAATGTGAGTTGGAAAAGGTGGCGATGTTCTCCAAGAAAGGAGTGACAAAAGTCTGTATGGGTGTTTGAGATGTATTCTCGATCTTTAAATTTCCATGCCTCCACGGTCCCGCGCTGTCACTTATCCTTTTTTTTTCTTGTACTGTCTTTTTCAACTCCAGCAGTCTGTGATCCTCAACACCAGGACGGAGTAGATGGGGCTGATCACCCTCATGTCTATTGCACTTAAGCAGCACCACCCTGTATAAAAGAAGTAAAAAGACAAATCGTGCAGTTAAAAATCCATCTCAATGGAGCATCAGTTAAGATGACATACAGGTAACCCACAGAATGAAAATAACTAAACCAACAGTGGTGGACCAGGTATATAAACAAAGGCTTGCTTGCACTGCTGACATTATTGTTTGAGGAACATGGCCAATCCCAGATGATGGTTCGGAACCCTTCATCAATTTTTCAAAATGTTCCCAGATTTAACAAAACCAACACATTCAATAACAATTGATAAACACCAAATATATGCACGTTCTTTTAACTTCTAGGGGCAAATTAAATGCTCATTAAATGTATAGTGTAAAGTTGACAATGTCCCAGGTTTGTTGGGGAACGTAAATACAATGCAGTCAAAACACACACTGTTAGCAAACATTAGCCGAGAGACTAAACTCAAAATCAAAGCTTGGTCAGTTAGCCCGCGTTGCTCGAGTGTCTCCCGTTGTTTTGTTTACTCTCACTGCTGCAATAAGCAGCCAAGTGTGTGACAACACGGCTTCCCGCTAAATGCTCTTGTTTAGCAAGCTAATGTGAACAGCTAGCGTGCGCTAACGTTACGACTGTGTTCCTAACGTTAGTCGTCAAGCCAAAACGTAAACAGTGACAAACACGAGGCAAGCAAGAACGCCTGCCCCAAACAAGCCATCTCCTATATTTCCAGCCACAACAACAGCATCGCAACAACCACGGCCGATAATCTCAATTTGAATGTCATTTTCTGATTAACGAAAGATCGCGGCCTTGTATTGGGCACAATGCAACTTGCTGACGGCCATATCAGCTAGCGGGCAAGTGCAGGAATTAAGGTATCATAGCCAAACATCGTGCGCCATTCAACATGGAGGCACCCACGGCTCTCAAGCTTCGCCGCGGGACAAGATCCACTGACCGCTTCGACGAGTCGAGTCCCTCCGAGCGATCCCCACCTCGGTGACGTCCGCCCTCCGCCGCCAGCCTCCCTCCCACGTAACACTCCGCCAGCCTGTAGTGCGGTGAAGACAAGGCCGCTGGAGCCGAGCGGCTAGGCCTCGGCTCCCCTCTCTGTTCCTCCCCCCACCTACACTTCTCAGTGCTTAGCAGCTCTGTGTAGCCCTCTCTCCTTCTTCCTCTCGAGGTCCCCCCGAAAAGCCCGAGCTCCGGTTCTGGTTTGCGGGGGGTGGGGGGTGGTGAGAGGGGGGCGAAGCTCCGATCGAGATACGCTGTTTACAAAAGAGCAAGGAGCACCTCCGTCCCGCTTTTACTGTTACTCACCGGAATTCCGTGTCGATCCGACGGGGGAAGGGTGCCAAAACCGCGCAAAACTGAGACAACAACAAGCCTAAAAATGCAGCCAGAGACCAGAGGCTCTCGAGCCGACGCCATCTTTGAGTGAAACGGAGCACGGCGGTGGGGGAGGGGTAACGCTGAACCGTCAGGCTGGGCCAAGGGACCGTCTGCATGGTGCGAGGCGAACATCCAGGGGAAGGAACATTCACAGCATGACGGTGGGGGCAGCGGCGCGCTGTTGCTATGAGAGGGCTACGGATATTGCCTGGGGACGTGAAATGGAAGAAAGGGACAGATGGTGGTGGTGGTGGTGGAGGGGGGATAGTTGAGGTAGTCTCGGAGTCTCTGTTGTGCCACAGCCGCGCAAGAGATGATTCAAGGGAACGTCTGCATTTGTCTTCGCGGCTGCAGGGGGAGAAAATCAAATCAAAGCCAATAAGAGCGCGTTTCACGTTAGAGGTATTTAAAGATCATATACATTCAGTCCAGAAATGATCCCGATTGTAACAGTTACCTACGGTGTTTCACGTCGTGGAAAAGCATGACATGTCTCTGCAGTGAACTGTACTCCACTGATGTACAGTTGCAAATGCCCAACAAAATATGACATTTCCACAAAGAAACAATTACGTTAACTGTTAATTAAATGACAAGGTGTTTCTTGTGCAATCATAAATGTGTGCATTAGATCATTCATACTCACATACAACGTGTCCAAAACAAAAAGTCGATATTGGAGTAAAGTCTATATTGGAGTACAGTACTGTATGAATTCAATTCCCTCTCAAGGGACTAAAATGAGTTGAATAAAATAAAATGGATAATAACAACAACACGGTTTACATGTGATCCCCATGCTCACGTGTGGTTTTCTTTCCATATTCCCGGAATCATGCATGAGGTGAGGATTGTAAAACAATACTTTTTTTTTTTTAATCACAGGCCATATCAGAAGGTTTCCCTGAGCTGTTTCCTGTGATAACAAATTGAAACAATAAACATAGAACTAATTCAGAAATTAGAAGTCACTGAAAATAGTTTCTTCAACTATTAGTTCTGATTTAAAAATTATGTTTAGTAACGGGATGGCCAGGTAGTCGAGTGGTTAGTGCGTCGACTTCACAGTGCAGAGGTACCGGGTTCAATTCCAGCTCCGGCCTTCCTGTGTGGCATGTTCTCCCCGTGCTTGTGTGAGTTACCTCTGGGTCCTCCGGTCTCCTCCCACACAAAAACATGCATAGCAGGCTGATTGAACACTCCAAACTGTCCCTCGGTGTGAATGTGAGTGTGAGTGCGAATGGTTGTTCGTTTCTGTGTGCCCTGCGATTGGCTGGCAACCGGTTCAGGGTGTCCCCCGCCTACTGCCCGAAAAACAGCTGGGATAGGCTCAGCACCCCCCACAACCCTAGTGAGGATAAAGCGGTTCGGAAGATGAATGAATATTTGGTGACGAAAATGCTCACACTCATGACAAATGTTATGATGACAATTTGCTCTCTTGGTGCAGATTTCGTTTTTTTTTTTGTTTTTTTTTTTCCGTTTTCCTTTGTTTATTGAACATAAAAACATGTACAGTAATAAATTGACAGAAAGTAAGGTAAGTAAAATAGTAAAAAGAAAAAGAAGAATTTTAAGAAGAAACATGAACAAGACACATGATCCATTTCAGCATGCCACATAAAATGATGCAGCAGGCCACATCAGGCCCAAGGGGCTTCAGTTTGACACATGATGGTTTCTAGATGTGAATGTGATTGTGAATTTTTTTTTTTGTCTATATGCATATGCGTCCTGCAATTGGCTTGCAACCAGTCCAGGGTGTGTCCAACCTTTCGACAAAGTAAGCTGGGACAGGCTCCAGCTCACCCACAACCGTAACAAGGACATGGGCTGTAGATGTCTCATGGGTGGATATTTAATGAGCCTATTGATGGGTTCACTGTGCCGGAAGCCAGCTCTTAATTATGATATTAAATATGAGCAAATGCATAAAAACCAGAAATTGTAATTAAAAGAGATGCTGTCATATTAATCAGAACTAAAATCCCACATGGATGCTTCTAACACATGTTGCACTTTAAATTATTAAGCTGCAATTGGAAAACCTTAATTAAAAAGCCAAACAAGTCAAAACAATAAATTGCGAGAAAACAATTTTCACATCAAATCAAAACAACTTGCATTTGGAAACTCAGTGCAGTCTTGTTCAATTACGTACAGACGCTGAACCCCCCCCCCCTCCCCCCAGGTGAAAATTAAATCATCTGCAGCTTTTGAGTAAATTTGAGTGCATGGCAGTCCTCCGAGACGTAATGTAGAGTCTCTTATGGGGAGCAATTAGACATGAGTTTTCCCATGCTGGAGGTATCTTGTGAGCGGGTGAGCTGCTCTGGGTTGACAAAGTGATCATCAAATTAAAGAATCATGGCCGCGGTTTAATCGCTGTTTATCTGCTACAGACTGCAGTACTTCTTGAGGGACGGATAAATCACTTCTGCAATGACAAGGCACTCATTATACTTAATGCACATGTTATCATACAGATAAATAACATGGTCAGCTACTAGAATTTCTCTTGAGGATGCACATATTACATTAGCGTGTACAGTGGGTCAGCTAACAGATGGACAATCCTCAGGAAAAGCCTACACCATCTCTTTGCAGCCATGAATAAATAATGGCAGACACCATGATCCACAGCACAAACTGGCCAACAATATACAACACAACAGCCCACTCAGGGTGGCAAATGTGGGCGGCGGGGTCATGGTGTATCCTCCTAGTTATCTGGATAGATCATTTTTCAGTTTTTCAGTCAAAATAAGGCAGGAAAAACAGTCTGGATAATATTTTGATGTTTCACAAGAGTGGCACCAGTTTCTTTAATGTGCTTGTTGAAAGAAATGATTCTTAGAATTTGTCTGATTTCATTTCAAACGGCGTCGATAACATTTGTGAGTAAGGTTGTGAAAGGGGAGCGGTATGAACATTGCGGCATACTTTCAAAATCAATAAACACTGCTTGAAAGTTATTGTTAAATCGTAGACCCTGCAACAGGGATTATGTAATTGACTACAGCAAGTGTTTTCGTCTTCTGTTTTTGTCAACAGGGATATGGATTTATAAAATGGCTGTTAAGCATTTCATTTAGATACAAATGATGTAGATCACTGTTGGCTTTGAATATACTGCACTATAGTGATTTTTTAAAATCGTAAATGTCGAAGGACTGCTATTTAATTGTAGTGAATTAATTCTCCTATCAGTTCAGTGTAAAAAAAATGTAAAAAGCATTTAGTAACAATTTCCTACCCCTTCCAAATAAATGTTTTGGCCTGAACTATCTGGCATGCAGACAAGGAAATAAATACTCCCAGGCTTCCTATAATCCTCTTAATCCCTCCTTGTAAAATTTCTATTCTCTGTGCACCCACCTGCTCGACCCGTGAGCCCTTGGTGTGCGACACCAGGGTCCACCTGCCACCCTGCAGAAACTCGGATGTCCTGCAGCTCATCCCGCTTCACTTCTCGCTGCTATTTTGTGGCCCAATTGGAAATGATGATCGTTGTTTGGCTCACTTCTTTTTGCAGGTGCGTGTGAAATCCCTCATTGAGTCAAGGCTTCAAAATAGAATCTGACTGATTGCTTGTTAAGATTCAGGAGATGCTTATGGATTGAGACCAGCTCTCTGAGGCTAGAACAGGACATTCATTGTGTAAATAAAGTTAATAAATGTGATTAACTTAATATCACCTTATACTGTAATTGGGATACTTCAAAGTTTTGCACATCATATTTATCATCTTTAAGGCCTATAGTCTGATCACATTGTTTCGTTCTTTGACATGAGGGAATAACATTTTATTGCCTGAAAAGGTTGCGTTTGGCTGCCGACCAGTTGCACCCTGCCTCTCACCCAAAGTAAAATGGGATGGGGTCCAACTCATCCGCGACCCCAATGAGGGTTCAAAAAGTCAGTTTTTTGTAGAATTACAATCTACTGGTTGGAAATTCCTCAAGATAGTGGCAAAAAAAGAGAAATGTTTGAAAATAATTTATTTATCTAATCATTATGAACATTTTTTTCTTTTTTATCATTCAAAAAGATCCCAGTAATTTTCTCTCTGTTTCTGTCCTGCTTTTCCTGCTTAAAGTTGAGGGGAAGTCTTCTGGCAAGAGGGGTATCACGCCCTGCACTGGTCGATCGTGGTAAGAAGAACATTCTATTCCACCATACCGATAGAACTGTATGGAGAAAGGATATGAATGCTTTTGGAAATAGAGCCTTTAGTTAAAACTTTTTTTTTTTAAATCAGTCATTCATGCTTTACGGGCCCTAAAATTGGGAAAGGGTGTGCATAAATTTGGGTTGAGCCATCTCAGGTTTGTTATCTTTAGGGTTATGGATTTTGAATATTTGTCAATAACTGGATTTTAATGTGGCTAATTGTGTGGCCATTGGTCAACACTGACAGGCTGCTTCTGCTACAGAATGCGTAAGCAGCAAAGAAGTCTGTGCTGACCACACTTGTGAGTTCCTGTTTTTTTGGGAGTGTTGCTCTTTGATTAGAGTGAGGCAGTGTCCATGACTGCTTTTTTTTTTTTTTTTTTGTCTGTGTGATTCTAGCAAACTTCCTGCTGGGCCTGGCTCATTGCCACGTCCCCAAACTCTCAAACCAAGTGAAGCCTCCTCTCCTGAAAAGAGATGAAATGTACAACGGAAATTTCCAAGCCCAGTCTGCCCAAAAGCATGCCCCCACCCATAGAATAAGAGCACCATCCTAGCCCACCTTAGCCCACCCTCCCTATGACCCATGCTCCCTCCCCTGCCCAAACGCTAAAGAGACAGACAGCAGCTGGAAGGTGGAGTGCAGCTTATTGGTGGTGACTTCCACCTCAAACAGACACCCCTAGACTGCTTGCTCCAACTTCCTGCCTTCTTCCTCAAAACAGCACCTCCTTCACTTGTGAAGTGCACTAGACCTCTGCGGATTACACCTGTTCATCTGACACAAGCAGCGGAGGATTCTTGGCTTTGACAAATCAATGGTGCTGCTGTGGTGAACAGTCGTTGAAGTGGCTGTGCACTTGCAACAGGGTCCTCTGACAAGCTCATTAACATGAACTAATAGGTGCGACTTTAACACCATTAAGAACAGAAGACAAGGGAGCGGTTATGGTAAACATTGCTCAAGCTGAATACCCTGACGTCGGGATACTTTTGATGTGTGAGAGA